CAATATTGAAGCTCCTGTTCATCCCTTTTTTTATTTTCTTCTGCACTAAAATTACAATGTTCTTTCCCCATTATGTACAGTCCTCCAAAAACCTTCCCAAAAGTGGCAAGAATATGTCCCTTAGGGTCCTGCAATTGGCAGTCCCTATTAGTAAACAAGAGATTCACATCTTTGTCAGCAATGAGTTGCCCCACAAATAGAAGATTGAACTTGAAATTAGGTACAAGTAACACATTCTTCAAGATTATTTTCCCAATAAGTTCCACTTCACCAACCTGATGCACTTTAATTTTTGTGCCATCAGGTAAGTTCACAACAATGGGACTAGTAAGAGAGCATAACCTCATCATCATCTCAGGACAAGAGCATATATGCCTAGAGGCACTAGTATCTATGATCCAACTTTCTCTATCAAGCTCACTTAACAAGGATAGGGCATAACCTTCTTCATGATTACCTGAATATTCCACAAAATGTGAGAAAGAGTGTGTTTCTGACTCCTGCTGTTTTGAAATGTACTTGGCAATTTCTCTTATCAATGCTCCCATGTTCTCTTGTGTTGTCTCTCCTTCCTGAGACTTGCATTCTGCTTCTCTCCTTTCTGTTTCAGATCCCTCCACCATGTTTGCTGAGGTATTCAACCTTTGTTGCCTTAAGTCTTTGTACCAATCCGGATATCCATGTAGTTTAAAGCAAGTTTGCATGTCATGACCATTAAAACCGCAGTGTGAGCAAAATAGCTTGGCTTTGTCTTCCTTTGACAACCTGTTGGTTCCTCTTCCCCTACCAAAATTTCCAAAGTTTTGTCCATATGATTCTTTGCCTGTTCCTCTACCATAGAAGCCAGGTTTGTTTCCACCTCTCCCCACACCTTTAGCCATCATGGCAGATGTCTCCAAAGGATCTGAGATTATATGATTCACCTTCTGTTTTTCAACTTTCAAAATCATCGAATAGGCTTTATTAACTGTAGGCAAAGGATCCATCAATAGGATCTGATTTTTAACAGGCTCATAAACTTCATTTAATCCCATCAGAAACTGCATCATCTTAACTTCCATGTCATTCTCACTCAATGCCTTTCTAGATCCACAAACACACTCAGGCAGTGAAACAAGGCATGCATACTCTTCCCATAGACATTTCAACTTTGTATAATAAGCTGTAACTGAGAGCGTACCTTGCACGAAATTAGCTATTTCTTTTCGCAGCTGATATTTCAAAGGACCGTTACTTTCTCCATACCTTTCAGCAAGCTCGTCCCATAGTTCCTTCGCAGTTTTGACATAAAGGAACGATTCAACTATATCCTTCGAAATCGAGTTCAGCATCCATGAGATAACCATATACTCAACCTTCTGATATTGATCATAATCATCGGTGTTCTGTTCTGGTATGGCGACTGTGCCAAAAATGAAACCGAGCTTCGATTTTGCCCCCAGTGCTAATTTCATAGCACGACTCCAATGAAGGTAATTCATACCTGTGAGTTGAATGGTGATCAGAATCAATCCAGGGTGATCGGATCCATGTAGAGATAATGGATCATTTTCGCGAGAGAAATTCCGAGCTACAATCTCACGCCCTTGCCTGCTTCGTTCATCATTGCCCGCCATTGAAGAGATTTTCGATCTGATTGGGAAGAATCAAAGTCCTGCTCTAGATACCATGAAGAAATTCATAATTTTCCATGGCAGATAAGTAAGAGATATTTTTGGGAATTTTTCTGTAAAATTTCTTAGCTCACCCAATGAAAACATACAAGATGCAGGGATAAAAACCCTCAGCCCAGTTCAACACAGCAAGGACAAAATAGTCCTTTTACAATAAAACGTAAAAAAAGGAAAACAGTGAAAATGCGACCCTATTAGTAAAGAGCGACTAAAGAAGCATAAAATAAAAGAGAAGAAA